TATTTGATCATGAAAAGTTTTATGAGATGAGCTATTGTTGACATATAATGATGCTAGAAAAGGTGATTGAAATTATCATTGATCAAACTTGTGCACCTGCTAGCATTCACACTTCATAAATTCTTTCTTTTATCATTTACCTACTCGAGGACGAGCAGGAATTAAGCTTGGGAATGCTGATACGTCTCCAACGTATCTATAATTTATGAAGCATTCATGCTACTATATTATCTGCTTTGGATGTTTACGGGCTTTATTATACACTTTTATATTGGGACTAACCTATTAACCGGAGGCCCAACCCATATTGCTATTTTCTTGCCTATTTTAGTGTTTTGAAGAAAAGGAATATCAAACGGAGTCCAAACGGAATGAAACCTTCGGGAGCATGATTTTTTGGAACGAACGTGATCCAGGAGACTTGGAGTTGAAGTCAAGGAAGCTTCGAGGTGGCCACGAGGGTGGGGGGCGCCCCCCCTACTGGGCGCGCCCCCTATCTCGTGGGCCCCTCGAGCGTCCCCCGACCGACTTCTTTCACCTATATAAGTCCATATACCCTAAAAACATCGGGGACAACAATAGATCGGGAGTTCCGCCGCCGCAAGCCTCTGTAGCCACCGAAAACCAATCGGGATCCTGTTCCGGCACCCTGTCGGAGCGGGGGTCCCTCACCGGTGGCCATCTTCATCATCCCGGTGCTCTACATGACGAGGAGGGAGTAGTTCACCCTCGGGGCTGAGGGTATGTACCAGTAGCTATGTGTTTGATCTCTCTCTCTCTCTCATGTTCTTGATTTGGCACGATCTTGATGTATCGCGAGCTTTGCTATTATAGTTGGATCTTATGATGTTTCTCCCCCTCTACTCTCTTGTAATGGATTGAGTTTTCCCTTTGAAGTTATCTTATCGGATTGAGTCTTTAAGGATTTGACAACACTTGATGTATGTCTTGTCGTGCTTATCTATGGTGACAATGGGATATTCACCTGATCTACTTGATGTATGTTTTGGTGATCAACTTGCGGGTTCAGTGACCTTGTGAACTTACGGATAGGGGTTGGCACACGTTTTCGTCTTGACTCTCCGGTAGAAACTTTGGGGCACCCTTTGAAGTACTTTGTGTTGGTTGAATAGATGAATCTGAGATTGTGTGATGCATATCGTATAATCATGCCCACGGATACTTGAGGTGACAATGGAGTATCTAGGTGACATTATGGTTTTGGTTGATTTGTGTCTTAAGGTGTTATTCTAGTATGAACTCTATGATAGATCGAACAGAAAGAATAGCTTCATGTTATTTTACTACGGACTCTTGAATAGATAGATCAAAAAGGATAACTTTGAGGTGGTTTCGTACCCTACCATAATCTCTTCGTTTGTTCTCCGCTATTAGTGGCTTTGGAGTGACTCTTTGTTGCATGTTGAGGGATAGTTATATGATCTAGTTATGTTATTATTGTTGAGAGAACTTGCACTAGTGAAAGTATGAACCTTAGGCCTTGTTTCCTACCATTGCAATACCGTTTACGCTCACTTTTATCGCTTGCTGCCTTGCTGTTTTTATAATTTCATATTACAAATACCTTTATCTACCATCCATATTGCACTTGTATCACCATCTCTTCGCTGAACTAGTGCACCTATACAATTTACCATTGTATTGGGTGTGTTGGGGATACAAGAGACTCTTTGCTATTTGGTTGCAGGGTTGTTTGAGAGAGACCATCTTCATCCTACGCCTCCCACGGATTGATAAACCTTAGGTCATCCACTTGAGGGAAATTTGCTACTATCCTATAAACCTCTGCACTTGGAGGCCCAACAACGTCTACAAGAAGAAGGTTGTGTAGTAGACATCAGTCTCTAGCAGTTTCTTCATCCATGACATAACCCTCAGGTACAACAGGAAATTTATATCTAGGGGGAGAATCTTCATCATCACTTTTATTAATATCATCTGTTTCGGTAATTTCATTCTCTCTAACCCTAGCAAGGTGTTTATCAAGAAATTGACCTAGTGGCACAGTATTATCAAGCAGAGAAGTAGTATCATCATAAGCATCATGCATAGAGGAAGCGGCATCATCAATAACATGCGGCATATCAGAATCAATAGCGGGTGTAGGTGTCGCAAGTTTACTCAAAACAGAAGGTGAATCAAGTGCAGAGCTAGACGACAGTTCCTTACCTCTCCCCTCGTAGTTGAGAGGAAAATCTTGGTTCTTTGATCTTTCAAATTCCTCATAGTGATCAACAGATATAAATCCCAAGTGACTCAAAGAATAGAGCTATGCTCCCCGACAACGGCGCCAGAAAAAGGTCTTGATAACCCACAAGTATAGGGGATCGCAATCGTTTTCGAGGGTAGAGTATTCAACCCAAATTTATTGATTCAACACAAGGGGAGACAAAGAATATTCTCAAGTATTAGCAGCTGAGTTGTCAATTCAACCACACCTGAAAGACTTAATATCTGCAGCAAAGTATTTAGTAGCAAAGTAGTATGGGAGTAACGGTAACGGTGGCAAAAGTAACAGTAGCAGTTTTGTGGCAATCATAACAGTGGCAACGGAGAAGTAACTAAGCAAAGATCAATATGTGAAAAGCTCATAGGCAGTCGATCAATGATGGATAATTATGTTGGATGTAATTCATCATGCAACAATTATAACATAGGGTGACACAGAAGTAGCTCCAGTTCATCAATGCAATGTAGGCATGTATTCTGAATATAGTCATACGTGCTTATGGAAAAGAACTTGCATGACATATTTTGTCCTATCCACCCGTGGCATCGGCGTCCTAATGGAAACTAAGGGATATTAAGGTCTCCTTTTAATAGAGTACCGGACCAAAGCATTAGCACTTAGTGAATACATGAACTCCTCAAACTACGGTCATCACCGGGAAGTGTCCCGACTATCGTCACTCCGGGGTTTGCCGGATCATAACACATAGTAGGTGACTATAACTTGCAAGATAGGATCAAGAACTCACATATATTCATGAAAACATAATAGGTTCGGATCTGAAATCATGACACTCGGGCCCTAGTGACAAGTATTAAGCATGGCAAAGTCATAGCAACATCAATCTTAGAACATAATGGATACTAGGGATCAAACTCTAACAAAACTAACTCGATTACATGATAAATCTCATCCAACCCATCACCGTTGAGCAAGCCTACGATGGGATTACTCACGCACGACGGGGAGCATCATGAAATTGGTGATGGAGGATGGTTGATGATGACGATGACGATGGCAATGGATTCCCCTCTCCGGAGCCCCGAACAGACTCCAGATCAGCCCTCCCGAGGAAGAACAGGGCTTGGCGGTGGCTCCGTATCATAAAACGCGATGAATCCTTCTCTCTGATTTTTTTCTCCCTGAACGTGAATATATGGAGTTGGAGTTGAGGTCGGTGGAGGTCCAGGGGGCCCACGAGGCAGGGGGCGCGCCCTCACCCTCGTGGCTAGGGTGTGGGCCTCCTTCTGTTGATTCTTTCGCCAATATTTTTTATTAATTCCAAAACGTGACTCCGTGAAGTTTCAGGTCATTCTGAGAACTTTCATTTCTGCACAAAAATAACACCATGGCGGTTCTGCTGAAAACAGCGTCAGTCCGGGTTAGTTCCATCCAAATCATGCAAATTAGAGTCCAAAACAATGGCAAAAGTGTTTGGAAAAGTAGATACATTGGAGACGTATTAGTGGATTCCGAACGTTCTTCATTGGCTGGCATGTGGTCCCGAGGTGGTAGGTACGCATTAACGACGACCGCGGTGGTGGTTGGTTGGCCAACAGGTGGGACCTCGTGTCCGTGCACGCAAATTTGGGCCAAAAATGCGTCCACATGAACAGCGAGCGGCTGAGATTTGGCTTTGCGTCCGCGTGTCGGGGCGGTGTTTTCGCCTGTTTCGACCCAAACAGACATGAACGGACCAAATGCACTGGAGCTATCCTTAGTTGTTGTTTTTGACATGATAGTTACCCTTAGGGTTTAATTTTAAGGGTTTGCTAGAGTTTGTTGCCGGGATCAAATCCCATATCCAAATAAGAAGTAACAGAGCAAAGATCGACGATTTTTGCGAGAGAGAGAGAGACCGAGTCCCCTTCCCCCTCCAGACTCCGTCTCGCGCCGCCTCCTGGGGCGGCGGCCGAGGCGGCTCCCCCATGTCCTCTCCTCGCCCCCACCATTTTGTCCTCCCTTCCCCGCCGCCGCCGGACGACGCCCTCGGATCTGGCCGGGTGGTCTCGGCGGTGGCGGGCCTTCCTTTCCCCCGCGCGTGGCGCCCTTCCTGGGGCAGGGCTCGGCGGCGGGAGCAGCTCGGTTGGCGGCGGTCCAGCGTCCTGGCGGCAGGGCCCGGCGTCTGGCGCGGTGGTGGCGCAACCTCTTGGCGGCGGGGCGGCCTGGTGGCGCTGGGTGGCCGGCGGCGCAACCCCGACCCAGATCTGGGCCCTTAGGGCCCCATCTAGGTCCTAGCGGGCCGGTGCCGGTGTGGCTTCGCTGCCTCCGGCATGGTGAAGTGGAGGGGCGGCTCGGACAGGGAGCAGCGACACCGACGGCATGCCTTCTGCAGCGCGACGGTGGAGCTTTACGAGCATTTGAGGGCCTGCCGGGCCTGTGGGTCCACGGGCCTGGCATGCTCCTGCTGTTGCGTCCGGTCGGACCCCATTGGTGACGGTGCAGGTTGAGCCCTCCCGTGTGCTGACAGTGCTACTGTTTCGAGTCCCGACTTCTCTTTTGTGCTGTGCAGGTCCCATTTCGCGGTGTGGTGAGACAGAGTGAGAGACTCAAAATGGTATTGGCGCAGGATGATGGACGGTATGGTGGCGTGCTTTCGTTGTTTGCCCCCATGTGCTTCTACTCAAGTCGAAACCTCGTGTCCGTTTTCTCAAAAAAAGAAAAGAAAAGAAACCTCGTATCCGTGAGGGCGAGAGCCGAGAGGGCAGAGAAAACAATGGTGCGGAGGAGGGAGCTACATTTTTGAGTGATGGAGACGGGGACGAATCTATGGGCGTTGAAGAAGAAAGGGGAAGAGTGGAGGTCGGCGCTGCAGGAAAGGGGGGCAGAGCACACTTCTTTTCTGGCCGGGGAGCATTCTGGGCAGGTTACTTCCCTTGTGGATCTAGCGGATCTGGAAGAAGGGTTGACAGACAGAAGCATATACGATTCTAGATTTTCTTCCACTTCCTTCCCAACAGAGGGGGAGGTGGTTGGGCAGCATAGGAGTGTCTTCTTCGATTCAACCAAAGGTGAGAGCTTCCATGCTTGCATTCTTGCCCGATGCAATTCGGAGCATTCTGTCAAACTGATTCTAAACTTGGCCTTGAAAATTTCTTTGCCAAGGTTCATGGAAGTGTCGGCACTGCGATTGGACACACCAATTGATTAGTCCCTGCAGAAATGGCGATTTTCCAAATTATCAGAGGTGTGGCCAAATTACAATGGAGCCCCCCTTTGGCATGGGGTCTCTTCTTGGCAAGCTGGGCATGCTGCTAGCTCCTCAAGGATGCAGGCTGCCGAGGCGGGTCAAGGACAGGATGCACCTCCTCAAAGCTGATGTTGAAGATTTAAGCGCGTACCTTGCTGAAATGGCAGAGGCAGAGGAGCTTCCTCTGACGGCCAAGCGTTGGATGAAAGAGGCGCGTGAGCTGGCCTATGACATCGAGGATAACATGGACATGTGTGTGCGGCCTGCCATCAAGACCACCAGATTCATCTGCAAAATCGGCCGTGTTAAGATTCCCAAAAGGCTCTTCTCCAAAAGAGTACTTCCCAGAGGGCTCAAACAGATTGCCTACACAGCTCAAGTGCCAGCAGAACATGGTGGGAAGACTAGATCAGTATGCAAAGCCATTCATGTTGTCATCACTTGTTTTCCCAGGAGGCTTAGGTGGTACAAGCATATCATGGAACTCATATCAGATTTCAGGATGTACATCCAAGAAGCGATTGAACGGCATGAGAGGTATGAGCTCCACTGCTGCAGCACCTTCCGGCGTAGATTTGTGTCCATGGGTCGTATGCTTCCGACGCCGTACGGAGGAATTGCTGACATGGTAATTGATGGCCGTGTGAGCGAGTTCATCGACTCATTGGATAATGATAGGGATCAACAGCTCAAGGTGGTATCTGTTCTTGGACCTGGATGTCTTGGTAAAACTGCACTTGCACAAGTGTTGTACAACAAATTTGCGGGGCGATTTGATTGTACAGCTTTCATCCGGGTGTCCAAAAGGCCTGATGTGGTGAGACTTTTCCGCGAGATGCTCACGCAAGTCCAGGGGCAGCAGCCCACTGAAGATTCTAAGGAACTTGACCTTGCTAGCAGTATCAGGGAACATCTACAAGATAAAAGGTACCACCTCTGCTTATTGACACATACCCTCCTAGCTACAAAAGGTGAAGCCATGCCCTTCTACTTTGACTGCTTACATATAAACAACTATAACGAGTTATGATGTGAAAATAGAATTATTATATTTGTCAAAAGTATACTTCCAACTAACATATGCATATACAGAAAGATGAAAAAAAGTCTGTTGGAGACCTTGCCACTGTCTAAAACGACATCTATTTTGTGTCATAAACTTACAAAAACTATGTTGATCAAACCAATCCATCACAGGATGCCATAGACCTGGTTATATCCTGAGGTACAGTTGGCTCTCACTCTCACCCCTTTTTGGGCTTCACTTATACTAGACTACTAGTTGTACTAGGGATTTGCATGCTTGTTATGCTATTTTCCTAATTTATTTTTAATCCAGCCCCATTTTAACCAATTTTGATAGTATGATTAGTATCTTTACATGATGTATTTGACATACATGAATTTTTCACATTCAGGTACTTAATTATTATGGATGATATATGGGCTGCATCAGCATGGGATATTATTAGTGATGCTTTTCCGGATGGTAATCGTGGCAGCAGAGTTATAACAACTACACAAATAGAAGAGGTTGCATTAACATGTTGCTGCTATCAATCAGAGTATATTTTTGAGATCAAGCCTCTGGATCATGATCACTCAAAAAAGCTGTTCTTTAACAGGCTTTGTGGCTCTGAAAGTGACTGTCCTGAAGAACTCAAAGAAGTTACAAACAAAATTGTTGAATTATGTGGTGGTTTGCCGCTAGCAACAATCAGCATAGCTAGTCTTTTATCAAGCCAGCCCGTCATTAAAATGGATCTTTTGACGTATTTGTGTGATTCGTTAAACTCCTATTTGTGGACATCTCCTTCCGAAGGAACAAGACAAGTATTGAACCTCAGCTACAGTAATCTTCCTGACTGTTTGAAGATATGCCTGCTGCGTCTTAATATGTATCCAGAAGGCCACACAATCTGGAAGGATGATGTGGTGAAGCAATGGGTTGCTGAAGGTTTTATCCATACAACAGAAGGACAGGACATGGAGAAAGTTGCAGCAAGCTATTTCGATGAACTTATCAAGAGAAGATTCATCCAACCTTTATGTGTCAAGTACAACAATGAGGTGTTGTCCTGTACTATTCATGATGTGGTACATGATCTTATTGCAGACAAGTGTTCAGAAGAAAATTTCAATGTGGTAATAGATTCTAGTCGAAAGAATGTGGCACTTTCTCATAAGGTTCGACGCCTATCTCTCCTCTTTGGTGATGCAAAATATGCGAAGACGCCAGAAAACATAAGGTCACAAGTTCGGTCGCTTACTTTTTATGGATTATTTGAGAGTATACCTTCTATTTCAGAGTTTAAGCTTCTTCGTGTGCTAAACCTTCAATTATCTGGTTATGGTGGCAGTGACACCGTAAACCTCACTGGGATTTCAGATCTGTTCCAACTGAGATATTTAAAGATTGCAAGTGATATCTGCATACAACTACCAGAACATATGCTAGGGTTACAATGTTTGGAAACACTGGTTATGGATAGTGAAGCTACTGCTGTTCCATGGGATATTATTCACCTCCCAAGCTTGTCTCACCTGAGTCTGCTTGTTATGACAAATTTGTTGCATTGGCTTGGCAGCATGAGGTTCGTTGGCAAGCTTAACAACCTGCGAGATCTTCATCTGACCTTTTCCGTACCGTCTTCAGACTATCTGAAGAGAAGCATGGAAGCTCTGGGCTCTCTACTCTCAGGACATGGCAACCTGAAAACTCTAGCCCTGGTTAATGGCCCCTGTCACAGAAATGCCATGGTTCGCGATGCTTCAAAAGTGACTGTCTCCTGGGATGGCTTAGTACCTCCCCCACTTCTCGAGGTGTTTGATTGGTCGCTACGCAGCTGCATACTGCCCCGTCTTCCGAAGTGGATCGGAAAACTTGGTGAGCTCCGCATTTTGAAGATTGCAGCAAGGGAACTTGCGAGGGATGGTATTGATGCTCTCAGAGGTTTGCCCGCCCTCACTGATCTGTCGCTGTATTTGCAGACGGCTGCTATTGAAAGGATTGTCTTTGACAAAGGGGGATTCTCAGTCCTCAACTACTTCAAGCTCAGGTGCAGTGTACCTTGCCTGAAATTTGAGGCGAACTCAATGCCTAATCTCCAGAAGCTCAAACTAGGTTTCAATGCCCCCAGACCCCGCATAGACCAGCATGGTGCTAGTACGGCTATAAGCATTGGCCACTTGCCAGGCCTTAGAGAGATCTATGCAAAAATCAGGGGTGCATGTGCTGATGCAGAATCTGCTTTAGCAACTGCCATTAGCAATCATCCGAGCAATCCTAGGATCAGTGTGCAGTTGGTGGATTATACTTTTGATGATGATGAGATCACACATGATAAAAATGAACAAGATGAGGTTGTGGAGGAAGACCGAGGTGGATACTTGAAGAAGCTACTTATGTCTTGTGCTAGAGCTGTGGATGAGAAGGACAGCTTGGCAATCGATATGACGGTTCCCGAGTTGGGAAAAAATGTTTCAGTATCTGGCAAGCCACTCCAGAGACTTGGAGAGTACATGGTTGAAGGGCTTGTTACCAGACTTGCCTCCTCCGGCCATTCAATCTACAAAGCTTTGAAGTGGCAAAAGCCAAATGGCTGTGAAGTGATATCCTACCAGCGTGAATTGTATGCCGTCTGCCCCTACTTAAAGTTCGGCTACGTGTCGGCAAACGGTGCAATTGCAGAGGCCGTCAGAGGAGAAGACATGATTCACATAATTGACTTTCGTATCTCTCAAGGAGTTCAATGGATTTCTCTCATCCAGGCTCTTGCGGCCAGGCCTGGTGGACCACCAACTGTAAGGATCACATGCATTGATGATTCTGAATCAGCTTATGCGCGAGGAGGCGGGCTAGAGATACTCGGGAATACTTTGTCAGACATTGCTCGTGAGTTCGCGTTGCCCTTTGAGTTCCATGCGCTGGATATCTCTGTCAGCGAAGTGGAAGAAGGGCATCTTGGAGTCATCCCTGGGGAAGCCGTGGCAGTGAACTTCAACCTGACGCTGCACCAGATCCCTGATGAGAGCGTGAGCGCGGCCAACCACCGAGACCGGATCCTTAGGCTGGTGAAGCGGTTGTCGCCCAAGGTGGTCACCATTGTGGAGCAGGAACTCAACACGAACACAGGCCCCTTCATGCAGAGGTTCGCAGAGACGCTCGACTACTACACCGCCATTTTCGAGTCCATCGACGTGGAGCGGGAGCGCCCAAGGAAACCAAAGGAGAGGACCAAAATGGAGCAGTACTGCCTGGCGAGGAAGATTGTGAACATTGTCGCCTGCGAGGGCGCGGAGAGGGTGGAGCGGCACGAGGTCTTCGGCAAGTGGAAGGCGCACCTCATGATGGCTGGCTTCAGACCGTCGCCGCTCGGCTCCCAGGTGAAAGACAACCTTAGGACGCTGCTGCAGTACTACTCGTCGAACTACAAGCTCGCCGAGGGGGACGGGGTGTTATACCTCGGATGGAAGAATAGGCCCCTGGTGGTTTCGTCCGCGTGGCACTAGTGCTATGATGTGGTGATCTAACGACCAACTTCATGCTTGTGCTATATGCTCATGGGTCTGGGTTGTTTTGAACCATGTATTGTCTGAACTCTCAACTACTCGTACCTGTTTCTTAGTAGTATGAGAAATTTGATCATATTTCGTGATATGGGAGGGTTGTTCGTTTTTATCCTTCTCTGTTTCACGCGCTTCTTTCTTTTAAACCGAGTAATGGAAATGTGTAACCACAAACAATGCAACGTAGACAAATGAGTTGAGGCCACAGATTCCAGGGTGACATTGTACCAACTATATGTTCCTAGTTCACAATATTAGATAAGAAGCCCTGAAGGGTGATTGACCACTGGTGGTGAGTTCTCTTCGGATTTTCTGAAATGAAGAACAATATCAAGGCATGATATTAAAGTTAATTAAGTCATGATCGGTCGGATTACAAGTTATTGGTGATTCAGTTCACAATGCAAAACCAAAATAGTACTCCCTCCGTCCTAAAATTCTTGTCTTAAATTTGTCTAGATACGGATGTACCTAATATTAAAACATGACTTGATACATCCGTATTTGAACAAATCTAAGACAAGAATTTTGGGGCGGAGGGAGTAAAAAACAAGGCTAAAACCTAGTACAAGGCGTGGCTCATCTAAAAATACTAGAAGGCATGGCTACACGGATTAACAATTGGCTACAGTGTAGGGTTTTTTTAGATCATCAGGGGATTTTGGCCCCCCGGTTCCATTAGCAAATGAAACCAAGCTGTCTTACATGACGCTCCTAGATCGAGCATGTTCCAGGTTCACAAACACCATAAAAACGAGAGAAAAGAGAACGCCTCGGCCTCCAGCCCAACTACTTAACACTTTATCATACATTAGATAGAAATCTCTCCTAGTTTTTCACTAACGCAAGGGGGCAGCATCGTTGAAGCAACTCCTTCACCGGGTCCAACGCGTCTCGGCCAACCTCGCTTTGTCCTCTGCGACCAGCATCAGGCTCGCCATCTTGACCTGCTCCAGAACATCACTCCTCATTTTCTTGAGCAGTTGGGTCGGCGAGCCAGGCAGGTCCAGAGGGGTAACTGGGCTTGTTGTGGTCTGAGCAGTCTTCTTCATTGGCGCACCTAGGCCGAGCAACAGCATGGCTGCTCTGCTTCCACAGTTCTTTCCCCGCCCTCAGTGACAGTTTGGCAAGCATAGAGCTTTGGGAGACACCTTCAGTGTCAACCTCTCCCCCAGTCACCCCACTGTCAACTGGAAGGGTGCAGCTAGGATGTTGGAGAGCGAGACTCTCTGCATCAACAAAGCGTGGTTGTAGGTTCAAGCGACAGCTCGACTACAAAGCGTGGTTGACCTAAAATGAAGAGCGTCAACCGGTGAAGGCTCGACTTCAACATTCAAGACATGTTCTGGAGAGGGCCCTGGCTACCTGCCGCATAGTCCGCCCGCCCTGGACCGAAAAATGCGTGAACGTGGTTTGATACCTATTCCCAACACCACCCATTCCTATCCCTGAGACTCCTGTTTGTGATGCTTGTGCCAAGAGTTTGGTGATCCTTGAATCGAACCCTCTTCCTCTTATGACTTAAACCTAGGTTGTCATATTGCTCTAGAATTTGGGTGGCTCATGCCTGCTAACGCCTAATAAGGCTAGAGTGGTGATCAGGAGAGTATCCTACTACATATATATAGGCTGGCCAACCTGGAGCTGGTTCCAATCTGGTTTTACTAGAGAACTCGAATATATATATATTGCTTCGTTGCACGATATTACCATCTCTGTACTTTGGATGGTTCGGATGTATAAATCAAAGTCGTCAGAAAAGGACATACTTCAACATGATGCAGCCACAAATGCAGGGATAGAGGCAGGAGTGGGCGAGCTGGGGCCATGGCTCCCCCATGGTAATTTATTATCTGAAAACGCCCCTATATTTTTAGCTCAAATGCTCTAATTTTTTATGTTTGCCCCCCTTCAAGCTTTTTATGTTTACCCCTTCAAGCTCCCCCATGGTAATGTTTATTGCCAAAGGCTCGTATCGAGCCTTGCTCTTTTATTGCTCTGAACAAGTCTACCGATCTGGTTTTTCCTCGTTCGCTGAGTTTATCCGAGTTCCGCCGAAACGATCGATTTCTATCGATCAGCTAGCTCACGTACGTACGCGAGGTACGTACTGGCTAGACCAGCTACGGCTGGAAATCCATCCAGCTGCCTACGTATGTGCTAGCTTACACGTACATTGTTGATCCTGGGTGATCTGATCTAGAGATCAAAAGCCAACAATTGTCTAACTTTGCGTTCCAAGCTCTTGGCGCTTGCTTTCCGTAAAGTGCCTTCTTGAGCTTGTAAACTTTTCCTTCTTCGCCTTTCTTCTCGTAGCCGAGGGGTTGTTCCACGTACACTTCTTCTTTGAGGTCGCCGTTGAGGAAAGCGGATTTCACATCCATATGATGAACCTTCCAATCCTCTTGTGCTGCCAAAGCTAGGAGCACTCTCACCGTCTCGATTCGAGCAACCGGTGCAAACACCTCCTCATAGTCAACGCCTTGACGTTGTACGTAGCCCTTTGCGACGAGTCTTGCCTTGTGGTTCACAATGGCACCCTTCGTGTCCTTCTTCAACTTGTAAACCCACTTCAAACCTATGGCCTTTTGGTTCGGAGGTCGGGTTACCAAAGTCCACGTGCCATTGCTCTCGATCGCCTTCATTTCCTCATCCATGGCATGCGTCCAACTTGAACTTTTTCTCGCCTCTACGAAGTTCGCCGGCTCCTCAACTCCAAGTAAACACAAATCGGAGTACTCGAGTGTAACTGGCTTTGCATACTTGTAGACTTTCTTGAGGGGCTTGTAGCGACGAGGCCCGGAAGAATTCGTCGTGGCTTGCGAAGGGGGCGACACAAATTGTGTCGGCGTCGATGCACTTGAGGAAGACTGTTGAGTCTCGGGCGTGGTAGATGCCGAGTCGTTGGCATCCTCGTCGTCGGCGTAGTCGTCGTGATCATGACCATCATCTTGATTGTCATCGTCACTATGCGCCTCATTGTCGAGATCTCCGCCAGTGTCATGCGCGTCGTTGTCGCTATCACCTTGCGACCCATGCGCGTCGTCATCGGTGTCGGCACCATGGTGATCACTGCCATTGCGGTCACCTTGGTTGGGTGTCTTGCCAACCACCTGGACATCCTCCCTTGCATCATCATCAGTTGGAAATTCAACTGTGAATATGTTACCGTTTGGAGCATCGTCGGCTGCTGCGCTCCAATTCCACGCTTGGTTTTCTTCAAACACGACGTCACGTGAAATCCGTAGACGCTTAGTTCGTGGATCGTAGAAGCGGTATTCCTTTGTGCCGGAACTCCTCTCGTATCCGATGAACACCATCTTGGTGCTACGATCGGCAAGCTTTGAGAGATGCGGCTCCGCCGTCTTCACATGCGCCACACACCCGAACGTCCGTAGATGAGACACATTCGGCTTTCGTCCGTAAATTGCTTCATACGGAGTCTTGCCGATTACCACCTTCGTTGGAGCCCGGTTGAGAAGATAGACCGCCGTCGAGACAGCTTCTCCCCAAAAAGTCCACGGCAAGTTCTTGCTCTTAAGTAAACTTCTCGCCATGTCAACGATGATTCGATTGCGCCTTTCAACAACACCGTTCTGCTGTGGCGTATAAGGTGCCGTGAGGAACCTTTTTATGTCAATCTTCTCACAGTAGTCGTTGAACTCGTTTGACGTAAACTCTCCGCCGCAATCTGTCCGTAGAGCGCGAACCTTCAGCTTGTGTTCCATCTCCGTTGCAGCCTTCAGCTTCTTGAACGCTTCAAACGCCTCATCTTTAGATCGTAGGAGAACGACCCACATGTATCTCGAGTAGTCATCTACCACAAGGAAGAAGTACTTCTTTCCTCCGTGAGTTGCTGGGGTGATAGGGCCACATAGATCACCATGGAGCAGCTCGAGTGCATCACTTGCACGATAGGTAGACTGAGCAGGGAACAGCCTGCGGTGCTGTTTTCCAACCAAGCACCCATCACATACTCGATCAACATGGTCGATAAACTGCATCCCAGATATCATCTCCATCTTCGACATCTTCTTCAAGGCGTAGAAGTTAACATGTCCAAATCTAGCATGCCATAACCACGAATCATCATCACTCTTGGCGAGCCAACACTCCGGTTGAGATTGATCAAGGTTGAGGATATAGAGCCTGTTCCGCGTGCGATTCACACGCGCTAGCACGTTTCGGAGGTTGTCGAAGATCGTCATCACTCCGTTCTCAATATCCACCTTGCATCCATTCTCATCAAGTTTCCCGACAGAGATGATGTTGTTGCGAAGCCGTGGGATGTAGTACACTCCGGTGAGTATGCGATGTTCTCCTGTGAGACCCTCGAAGAGGACAGAGCCTTGCCCGCAAATCTCCACATTTGAACCATCACCGAACTTGACCGAGCCTTGAACATCATATTCTAGCTCGAGGAACTTCTCCTTGCACCCCGTCATGTGGTTACTGGCACCCGTGTCGAGATACCACGACACGTTCTGGCTCCCGGATAACTTTGGTGTTACTTTTTTCTCATGAAGTAGCACCTTCCGGTTTGGTTTTACAACCGCTGTTTGGACGAGATCACAAACTTCGGCCATCAGAAGACCTGGACGTTCGTCTTCCTGCTTTGCCAAATTTGCCTTGATCTCCCGCTTGTTAGGCTCCATGAGATCACAAACTTCGGCCATCAGAAGACCTGGACGTTCGTCTTTCTGCTTCGCCAAATTTGCCTTGATCTCCCTCTTGTTAGGCTCCGGACAATCCTTCGCAAAGTGACCCATCTCGTTGCAGTTATAGCACTTGACCTCGGACATATCCAAGTTTCGTGGCTTCCGCTCTTTAGATTGGTCCGCCTTACCACGACCTTGTGGCTTGCCTTTTCCTTTGCCTTCTTCGGTTTGTCCGCCGCGCTTCGCGTTGCTTGAGCCTTCGCCAATGTTGCGCCTTCCTTTGCT